GCTCCCATCAGGCTTCTTTACTGGGAGTATAGGGGTATTATGGGGAGACATACAAGGTTCTAATGTACCATCCTTTATTAGTCCTTCTATTACTGGCTTTAAACAGTCCCGTCCTTCTAAAGATATAGGATACTGCCGTACACCTATGGGGCAATTTTTTTTTTCCTTAATTTTAATCCTTATGGGGTCAATATTTATTCCTCCCCTATTTCCCTCCCCAGCCCAAACTTCCTTGTTAATTCTTCTGTCATCCTCCTGGCCTAGTTTTAAAAGTCTAGCTGTCATCTTCCCATCTTCTGGAACAACCTCTATTCCTAATTTCACTTGTAAATCTCGTCCCAATAAATTGCTACCTGCCACTGGGACCAATAAAACATCCCCCATCCAAAATCTAGTTTCTCCCTGTATTACCACATTTTTAATAACAGCTACTGTGAAACTCTCTCCTTTCGCTCCTGTTACTTTTACAGTATCTTTGCTTACACTATAACCTTTTGGAATATTTAACAGAAAGGTTATTTCTGCCCCTGTGTCTACCACAAACTCCAATTCTTCTTCTTGGGGACCCACTTTTAAAGTTATCACAGGCTTTAGATGCTATTTGTCCCCCCAAAAAATAGAGCCTCTGACATCCTTATTCTTCTTCGGTGCCCATCTCTTAAAAAATTTCATATCTGTTACCTTCTTAGGACAATCTCTCTTATAATGACCTTTGCCCTTACAGTAAAAGCAGACATTTCTAGAATGTTTTTGAAACTTTGATTGCATTGGGATTTTATTCTTTCTTGTTCCCCTGTCTCTACCACTATCATATCTAGGAGTAGTGCCTGTGGTTTTTTATTATTTTCTTGCAATTGTTTTCTCGCATGGTTACTGCCACAATCTTTGCTTTTAGTTTGGCTTTGGCCACAGACTTCCTGAACTTCCTTTAATAAATAATCTAATAATTTGTCATGCCAATCTTCAATTTTTTTCCATTATCTGGCCAAGCACAAAGTTAATCTTTAACAAAGCTTTTTTCACATCAGTCTCAGGATTCACTCTGGTACACTGCCTACTATTTATCCCAAGTCTGTCCAACCACTCAGCTGAAGCCTCCCCCCTCCCCTGCTGTGCCCCAAAAGTCCCCTCAGCACTTTGCCCTCGAGATGCTGCCCCCCCTATTCCCCCAACAATCAAATTATGATACTCATTCATATATTTTCTCGCATCCTCATCATTTTGACCGCACTCAGGAGGTGCAGTTGTCATTTTGTCCTCCCGGGGGGGGGCTGTGGATTTTCTTTACTCTAGGTTTTTATGCCTGTAATTCTGATCATTTCCCTTTCTTCTGGAGAAAATAGTATCTTTATTATTGACCAAATTTCTTCCCAAGTATAAATGTTTGAACTTAAAAATTGGTCTAATTGTTTAGCAGTGCTTATGGGATCCTCCAAAATCCCTTTGATTTCCTTTTTAAAATTCCTGACCCCAGAAAAAGTCAAAGGAGCCTTCACAAACTCAGTTCCATCCCCTCCTGTCGGGACCTCTCTTAGTGGAAATAGACCAATTTCTTTAGCCCAGTCTTTTTCTATAGCCTTTCTCCCGTGCTGTGAGGAATAGTCCGGAGAATGTTGCCTTCTAACTGAACTTCTTGTGTTCCTATAAAGGGGCGTCCTCCAGATAGAAAGAGTTTCTTTGAGCTGGGGCTGCGGTTACCGGGGGAACGGAGCTCCGGGCAAGAAGGGGGGTGAGGGGAGGGCACACCACCGATACCTGGTCCTCCAAAGGCGGAGCACGGGCAGGGTGTGCTGCCGGAACCGCCACAGGAGGGGCAGTGCCGGGGGTACCAGCCGGGAGCGAGATCGGCCCGCACATGGTTAATGGCGGCTGGGTCGGTGGTCCCCAGCAGAGGCAAAGCAGCAGCGGCGGTGCCCAGCGCAGCCGGAACCGGCAAAGTCACCAGGGATGGGGCAAAGAAATCAGCCGCGGGAGGAGCGCTCCAGGATGGGACGGGCGGGACCGACGGGAGCCCGGCAGGCGCGGCCGCGGACGGGACGGGGGCGGGGGCCGGCCGGGCAGCCGCGAGCAGCGGGACGGGGACGGGTACAGAGGCTGCGGGTGGCGGAGCAGGGACCGGGACAGGCGGAGCCGAAGCGAGCGGCTCGCCATGACTTGGGACAAGCGCCGGGACCGGGACAGGCGGAGCCGAAGCGGGCAGCGAGCCGGGGCCCGGGACAAGCGGCTCGGCCGCGAGTGGTGCGGGCGCGAACGGGAACGGAGGGGGCAAAACCTGTGAAGGATCCCACTCCTTTTCTTTTCCTCTTTCCCCCTCTTGTTCCCCTCCCTTTTCTTTCCCTTTGTCTTCTTTTTTACTCGTTTTCTGTCCCATTTTCCAAAATCTTATCTAGTAATTCCATGCCTTTGTTTCCCACTTTGTCTAACAACCTGAATACCACCTTCTTTCAACTACACAAAAAGTCCTTTTTCTCACAATATCATTTAACACAATATCATTCAACACAATCCACCTCCCTCCAAGGAAATAAAGTAAAGCTCAAAATAAACAATCTACATTACATATACTTCCATTCATCTACATTTACTCACCCTTATCTCTCACTCTCACACACATTGACACCCTCAAGCCTATTCATTCATATTTCTTGACTTCACAATACTGTTATATATACTTTCATTTGCTCACGTTCGCATACAACAACAAGGTACCTTTTACTTTCAAACAATTTATATTACATATCTACATATCTACATTTATTCTGAGTGCTCTTGGAATGTAACCCTTATCCATCAACCCAGCAGGTTTCATCCAGGGTGTCTCTCTATTAATCTTGGATGTCCCCCCCATTCTGCAGAATTTTAACACACCTATTACACTTTTAGGTGTTACAGGCCAGTTCCGGTGTTCTTGGATATCCCTCAATCCAACCGTAATCCCAGATTCTCTTGGATATCCTTCAATCCGGCAACCCTGAGTGTTCTTAGGATGTTAATCCCTCAACCCAGAAAATTTATGCCCCTCCAAGGAAGACCCTCTCTTTTTTACCCTTTTGTTTTCCCCCAATTAACTATGCCAAGAAAACCCTATTTTTTGCCTTTTAATTACCCAATTCATTATGTCAAGCAAACCCACTTTTTTTTTTTTTTTTTTTTTTTTTAATTTTCTATCTCCCCCACCAAGGTGTCCCACTCCTTCCCGGAGACCCAGTCCCAGTTTCCCTAGGGGGGGTTCTGTCACTCTTGTTTTCACTCGCTTCGTCTCTTTACTGGCCGCTTTTCTCGCGAAAAAGACGGAAACGCAGCATGGGAGACTCCACAATCACTTGGCAAGTCTGGGATAACCAGCTGACCTCTCATTCAAACGCATTCATCCCCCCTTTATCCACCCCATCCCAACAAATACCTATCCTCTTTCTTTGGGTCTTTGTTCTTTGTGTACACGTTAATCTTAGGGGCTAATTACCGCGGGTTTAGGGAATCCTTTCCCTTTTCTTTGTTTTATTGTCTCCTTTTGTCCCTGGATCAAAACCTGCGTCTGTCGGTAGCACCAGGGGAACAGAGCGAAGCTGCCTAACCAGGGCAGGACGCGTTTCTTCACTCTGAGTCTCCTAAGGCACCGGCAGAGAGGTGTTACTAACCATCCTCTGGTACCATAATTATGAAAAATGCCAATGACTTGGTTTTTGGCTTTTAAAGTTTTTAAAGTTTAATAATAATAAAATGGTTATAAAAATAATAATACAATTAGAGTAATAAAGTTTAGAGTTAGGACAATTACAAGACAATAAAAAGCAAAGAATTACGGATGTCCCAATGCTCTCGGACACTAAGTCACGAAAAGCATGACTTGTGAACAAAGGAATCACCCTTAAACCAATACACTTGTTGCATATTCATACATTCTTCATGGTTATGCATACGTTCTATTCTAAACAAGAAACACTGTCTGTTGTATGTCAACTGTTTCCTTTAATCCCCTGGTGTCTATGAGTCTGAGCAAGGCCTGTAGAAATTAGCTTCTTCTGATAAGAAGCCATACATTCCTCTGCTTTGGAAGATTTAGGTGTTCCTCGAAGCGAGTATCTCATCCCTAAAAAAAAAAAAAACTTCCCCCAAATACATAGTCTCTATTTTAACATTATCTTGTAACCTAAAACTACACTTAACACAATACGTAAGAGAATTAATACAGCATAACTTTCTAACATTACACATAATATTCATTGTAACATTTGCGAAAAGCCAATCACAAATATGCATTTTCAGATGTGGCTAATGTGTTTGTAGTCGTGTGAGTGCGTGGTGTATGAAGGGAGTGAACCAGCGAATGAGTGAGTGTATCTGCAGCGCAGGGGGGGGGGAAGTTCTACTTGTTTCTGAAGTAGCTGAGTAAGGCTGGAGGCGCCAGCTGGGATAAGCTGTGGGGGCAGGGAGTGCCCCGCAGGGAAGTGAAACAAGTGGAAAAATGTGGATGAGGACGTTTACTTTGTTTAAAGGTGCTGATTCGTGTACATTTTAACAGTGGCTAGACGAACTGGGGGGGGGGGGGTTCCTCTGCCCCAGTGGTTCGGACTTGATTCCTGGAATTTTACTGTTGAGAAATGTGGACACTTCGAGTTTCCCAGTGAGTTTCCCAGTGAGTTCGTAGGATTCTTCCCCCGCATTGTGGTATTTTGATTCTCGGGATTGTATGGTTGTGTTTGTGGAGATTTTAGGATTTTGTTTGCAACAAGTGTAGCATTTTATGCAGAAGAGGTACAGTATGGGGATTTACGTTTAACTGTTGTAAAGCAAATTAAATGAATTCCAGGAATTCCTCCCTCACAGAAACTTAAGCCCTGACTCTCCTTGAATTTGAGATAAGGACAGGGCTCTGTGTTTGTGGGCATATCAGAGTTTTTGCTGTACCAGGCACAGCCTTTTGCAGGGCAGCAAAATAAGTGTCAGTAGAAACAATGCTTTAATTGGATTGTGCGGGAAGAGAACTGGAAAAGACTGAGATTTTGTAAAAGAGATTTTAAATAAAGGAGAAATGCTGAAGTGATAAACAGAATAACCTGCAGACAATTCCCGGGAGTTTTAGGTGCATTAAGAGGCTGGCACCTTGCATAAGTACTATTACAATGCAGTTTGTGAGAAGGGCTAGTATTACTGTTCTATTCCCCAAGTGTAAATTGAAGGTTCCTAAACAAGCTGATTCAGAACCTGAGATCTTAAAGCTTATGTGTGGAGGATCACATCTGATACCTGTGACCTGGAAAGTCTGTGTGTGAGAAAAACTGAGAAAAAAACGTGAAGCTTGGGTAGAAACAAAATAGTATAAGGAATGAAAACTAACCAGAGCAAAGAGGTTCCCAACCTAGCCCCTCTGGCAGGAGGGGCTCACTGGAAGAAAGCCTCCAGTAGGGGCAGCTCGGAAAACTAAAGGATTTCTAACACCTTATTGCAACCAATGCTGTTTTAAGACAGAAAAGCAAATAAGGTGAGGTCTTGTATGCTAATATGTTTTTCACCTTAAAGAATCACCCAGAATAGCAGCGTAACTGGGTTCAGAGTTCCTTCTGACCCACTGGTGTTAGCTCTTCAAAAAGTAAACAGAGCAAAGAGAAGGCAAATCAAATGTGTTGCTCAGCATGCAGTATAAGGCAGTGATGTATGAAATCAGACAAAGCTCATCATCCTGAAACACAAAAGCATATATGTTATATGTAGTAGATATAATTCGTGCCATTTCTAATATGATATATGTGATATTGAATATTTGTTAGAGTATACACATTTGTATTAGGATTCCCCCCCACCCTTGCAGGGGAGACCGGGTGTAGATTGGAAACTGATTTACAAGTAAGAAGGTACAGCTCACCAGGAGATGGGCCATGTCTGGAGAGACAGGGGAACTGCAGGTGCTGATCATTGCGTGAACGACCCGAGATGGATACCATGGAAATCCTCCGGCAGATACATGTGAATACAGCGTTCCTGAATTCCCATAAATTTCATCAAGGGATTCAGCAACTCCGGGCACTGAATTGTTCTCCCTCATCACCAAAAAAGAAAATCTTATTAACATATAGACTCTGAATAGAAGAAAAGACTGATTGCTGAAATCTTGGCCTCAGGCTGAATTTTCCCTATAAAAACCGCTTGTGCCAGGATGGAGGTGTGTGGGCATAGAGGAAAACCTCTGCTGAGGCTGACCTCTTTGTTGCACACCCAGGGCCGACCCCGGGCTCGGCTCTGTTCTTTCCTTGTGGCTCGCCAGATAAAATTTGATTGCAAAATAAATATTTGATTTTTTCATATTAATTTGGCTGGACAAATTTTCATTTATAACAATATATGATTTGTAAAAGGCTCCCCCTAAGGTAACAGAAGATGAGGAGGACCTCCCCAAAAGGGAAGAGGACTCAGGCTCCAAAGGTATATCCACTCTAACCCATCCTCCTCCTGGCAGTCCAATCTCATCCAGAACTAGGAGGTAACAGACCCCTCTGCGAGAGGCAGTGGGACCAGGAGAAAGGAAAAAGCAGGAATTTTGGTTGATACAGGGGCCACATATTCACTTTTAAATAAAGCTTTAGTACCTGTGGAGAATGTGGAGAATGAATATGTTGTAGTGTGGGGAACAACTGGCCAGTCTGAGAAGGCATACTTTTGCAAACCTTTCAAGGAACAATGGAGTATATACAAGTTTTTGTATATGCTCAACTCGCTAAACATTCTAGAATGAGGACGTTACTCTGGAGGTAAATGATCAAAGATACATAGAGGTGTTAAGTTTAACATTAACAGCCATTGAAAATAAGGAGAAAATTAATTAAGCGATATTAGGACAAGTATTTTTGGGGAATGGGCCTCTGATGTACCCGGGAGGGCAAAGAACGCCCCCCCCCCCCCATAGTAATCAAGCTTAAGAAAGGAATACAACCAGTGAAAGTTAAGCAGTACCCCCGTACCCCCTGAAAAAGATAAGGAAGAAATCAGCCCAATAATTGATAGTACAGGATTGAGGGCTGTCAATAAGATAACAAAGGATTTAAATCCTGTGGTAGTAAATCCATATACCTTACTAACTTGTTTAACACCTGAACTAACCTGGTTTACTGTTTTAGATCTGAAAGATGCTTTCTTTTTCCTCCCTATCCACAAAGCCAGACAGAATTTTTTTGCATTTGAATAGAAAAGCCCTAAAAGCAGGCTCAAAACCTAGCTCACATGGTCCATGTGCCTCAAGGCTTCAAAATCTCCCACTCTGTTTAGAGAACAACTTGCAAAGATCCAGAACCTTGGGAAACTCCACAGGAAGAAGGAAGAAGCCTTTCAATTTTCCTAGACTCCAAGGAAAAAAAAGGCATAGGCATAGCAGGATGGTGCTTGCTGTGTGTTTAAGCCACACGGGCCTTTCACCAGCTAAAGAGTGTCCTCATGTCAGCTCCAGCTTTGGGACTTCAGATGTAAGTAAGCTATTCTTTCTATTCTCCCAGGTGGCTCAGGACTTGAATTCATACCGGAGGGCAGTTGCTTCCAAGTAATCGATGCAATGCCAAAAATGGCCAGGCTGCCTCAGAGCTGTAGCAGCAGTCGTGCTGAATATGCAAGAAGCACGCAAGTTTACCCTGGGACAAAAATGACTGTCCCACACAGTGTCTGCAGTACCGGAAGTAGAGGGCAGCCACCAGCTCTCACCAGAGAGGTTCCTGAAGTACCAGGCCATCATGGTAGAACAAGATGATATAGAGAGAGTAGTAACTAACATTGTCAATCCAGCTTCTTTTCTCAGTAGAAATCAAGGAGAAGCAGTACACCACAACTGCCCGGAGACTACTGAAGCTACTTATTCCAGCTTCCCAGACTTAAAGGACACTCCTTTAGATGATGCAGAGACCTGTTTCACTGATGAGAGCAGCTACGTTGCCAGTGGAAAGCGACATGCTGGATATGTAGTCACTACCTGCAGAGAGGTAATAGAATCTGGACCCTTACCAACAGGCACCTCTGCGCAGAAGGCCGAGATCATTGCACTGCCCTGTGCCTTGGAAATGGCAAACAGACTCTAGATATGCATTCAGAGTTGTGCACGCACATGGAGCTGTCTAGAGAGAGAGAGGGGACTGCTGACCTCGCAAGGAAAGATCATCGGGCATGCACAAGAGATAATCCGGCTGCTGGAAGTATGCATATTAAAGCACACCAGACAGTGAGCTCAGAATTGGGAAAAAGAAATGAGCTGGTGGATGGAAAGGCAAAGAAATCAGTAGAGAGTGAGGTAATTATGGACGCATTTCCCTTAAAGGTAAGCCAGAAAATAATAATACTAATCAAAAGGGACATATAACCAAGAAGGATGGGTTATGGGCTACCATTGAAGGGGAGCTAGAAATCCCTTCCCATATGTGTGGTCACTAGTAAGGGAGAAGCACCAGAAAATACACTGGGGCCTAACTACTTAAAAGCTTTTGTAAAGTGCAGCTCCTTTCCCAGAATGACCAAGGCTGCCGGTGTTACAGAGTGCATCAAAAGTAAGTGATAGTTCCCACAGTCTTTTATAACACATATCTGATTTAGAGGATCATTATTGTTACAGTGAGCTCAGGGGCACTCTGTGCCCCCCTTTCCCGGGACCTTGTGACTCTGATCAAGATAACCCCTGGATCCCTCCTTTCTGCCCGAACGGGGTTGGCGGAGAGCCAGGAAAGCCCACCCTGTCCAAAACCTATATAGACCCCTTGACATTTCCTGTTCTTCCTCTTTTGCCCTGCTCTCCCATGGACAACACAGAATTAAGAGAGCAGTACCAACCCCTGGGGTAAGAGCCTCTTTTGAATACCTATCCCCTCTCCTGGTATTTCTCCCCTCACAGCCCCTTATCTCTGAGCTAGTCGGATTGTTCTGGGGGCTGCGTTGAGGGGGTAAAAACTACAGTTGGCGCCCCAACGTGTGCTGCCTCTGAGCCCACGCTGAAGCTGGACCCCCTATCTCAGTGTATTTCAATAGCTTTTGGGACAGTCAACTGCCCTAGTACTCTAGCTGCCTTTAAAGGCTTTGAGTGACAGGGAGAAGTCGGGGATCTCGCCTGTGTACCCCAGGCGAGCCGGCTGGAGAGGGACCCCCAGAGGAGTTCACAGACGAACCTTGCAGTTCACGGCTTGGTGAGTTCTCTGTTCGCGTCACCCGGGACCGCGCCTGGCTGGGAGGAGTTACCATAGTGACTGTGGGGAGCTGCTTTCGAGAGGGGGTGCCAGGGGCCCTCTGCGAGACAGCGTGGAACATGTGGGCTGACAGTGCCCACATTCCTGGGGGGAGAAGTGACAGGAGAGAGGGTTGGAGCCGGTCCGGCCAGTGGCGGGACGAGCGCCCCTCCCCCTGCCCCCCTCCCCCCGCGCTCCAATTTCCACTGAGGGAAATTTGAATCATTCGTACTGTGTTACTAACTCTGGTGGAGCTTAGACCAGCGATACAATTAAATAATGGGTACAAAACTGTCGCTGGAATAAAAGAGCACACTGACACACCTTAGAAATATTTTAAACAATGTATCGTTCTCTAACAAGCTTCTCCTGAGTTTTGTGTGCTGGCTAACAGCAGAAATACCAAATTTCACTGTGCAAGAACTGAATTCGCTTTCCTTTTGGGACCAAATTGGACAGATATTAACTTTAAAAGTCGAAAAGGGTGAACATAAAGCTTCTCGATTTATTCCGATATTTTTACAAGCACAAAAAAAGATTTTGGAATCAGAAAAATGCATACAAACGCAGAACCACAGTTTCAATACTCCCTTTTCCCAAACCTGCCCACCTCCTCAATATCCCAGCCCTGAAAACCCCTCACCCACCCTTTATTCCCCTCTAACACCTGGTCTTTCCGAGAAATATAGTCCGGAGTTCACTTCAGGGAGCACGGCAGTGTCTCTGAAGCACACGCGGCAGGATAATGGTGGCGGTCATGTGCTCGGACCGGCTCCGGCTCCCCCTCCCACTCACATTTCTTTGCTTCCCCCGCCCTCCGCCCCCTCCTCCCTATCTCCCACAGCTCCACCACACCCTCCTTATCAGTGCGAGCCCCCGTGTTGCCCTGGGAACAGGGGCGGGGCCGGCTCCTACACTGCTCCCAGCCCCAGCGCTGACGACAGCAGGGCGGGGGCAGGGGACAGCAGCCCAGCAGCTCAGAGCAGGGGCGGGGCCCGAGTTTGCACCGCGGGGCAGACAGCCTGGGGAGGGGGGTGCGAGCTGCCTCTCACCGGGACCCAGGGGGTGGTGGGGGGAAATAACCCTGCCTCTACCGAGGAATCTATACCATCTGTAGCACCAGTTGCTTATTTAGGGAGAAGAAATGGTATCAGAAGTTATCAACCTCTACCATATAGAGACAAAACAGAAATCTGTAAAGTTCAGAGAGAATTTGGGAGGTCCAGTGAGATTTTTAAAGGTATGATTAGGGCAACCTTCAATTCAAATGAAATGGTACCTAAAGATGTCACTGACTTGTTTAAATGTTTACTAACACCCTCTGAATATGAGATATGGGAAAATAAGTGGAAATTGGCTTTGACAGCAGTTTTACAAGAAATACAACATACACCCAGTGAAGCACTTGATAGTGATGGCAATCCTATTACAATACATCATTTATGCAGTACAGGAGACATACAATGCCCAGAAAAACAAACCAGACTGTTATCTAGATCAGTTTTAGAAAAAATCTGTAATGCTGCAGAAAAGACTTTGTATCAATTACCAGGAACTGAGGTTAAATGCAGCTATATTAACATTAAACAGTTTCCTTCTGAGAGTTTTTAAGTTTGTAGATAGTTTGAGAAGCCAAGTTGAAAAACAGGTGCAAGACACCAGGGTACAAACAGAATTGATTAAAGAAATGGCTCAGAGGAATGCCAATGAGACCTGTCGTAGGATTATTCTCAGTCTTCCTCTTGATCCAGCACCTAGCCTTGCCCAGATGATCGAAGCCTGCGCTAGGAGAGCAGAGCTGCTTCACATTACTGACAGTCATACCGCATCTGCAGAAATACAGCCTGCTGCATCAAGCCCAAGGAAGAAACCTAGGTCATCACAACACCTGCAGCACATCATCTGCCTGCGTTGCAAGAAACCAGGACACTTTGCCAGAAGCTGTCCTCAAAACCAGAACCAGAGACAGATCAACAAACAAAAAAACTGAGTGTACAGCGCGTGCCCACTGCTACGTGCAAAGATATAAATGTAGCATAACCCAAATGGGACAATGCCTCTCTCTTAACAAATAAGGGGGAGGGTGGGAACCATGGTGGGGGGGGAGAGAAAAATAAAAATGTAAAATGTATAACTAACAAGGTTTGGCAGCCCCTAGGCCGACCTCGCCTAGTGACTGCCAAAGGATTTCATTTCAGATCCACTGATTGGAAAGTTATTGTAATGGACCTGTCAAAGAGCTCACAAGACCTGCAGGCGTACGATATGGAACTGGACAGTGAGTAGTTTGTTATTGGGGACACAGCATACACACCTCCAGAGACTGAAATAGTTCCCATGACTACAAAGGGAAAAATATCCAGCTTTATGCTGTTGGCACACTGTTTACACCCTCCATTCTATCTAGAAAAGGGGCAAATTCTGGCACAAGCCATTCCCATCCCAGTAGAAATCACAGTAGAAGGAAAATCCCCAGAAGTCTACTGGGCAGAAGTAGTAGGAGAGGATAAACCCTCCATGGCATGCAACCTAGCACATGGGTCAGAGCACCTTCAGGTGGAAGGGGTTCTGGACACAGGTGCAGACATCACGGTGATACCTAAAACCATGTGGCCACTACACTTGGAATTGCAACCTGTGGCAGGCAAACTTCAGGGTATAGGAGGAACTACATTAGCAAAAATCTCTAAAAATGTAGTGCAAATTGAGGGACCTGATGGGAAGTTGTCAAGTGTTCGCCCATTTGTGGCAGACTATAAGGCTCCTCTGTGGGAGAGACACCATGTTCCAATGGGGAGTCCAGTTAATCATTCCTAAGACACCCCAGGATTTTTGGAAGTAGCCACTGTGGAGTGCCCTTCCCACAAGTTAAAGTGGTTGGATAACACCCCAAAGTGGGTAGCACAGTGGCCTTTGAGTAGAGAAAAACTCGAGGCGCTCTAAAAACTTGTGGAGGAGCAGGTAGCTCAAGGACACCTGCAAGAAACAGACAGCCCTTGGAATTTCCCAGTCTTTGTAATAAAGAAGCCTGGGAAGGACAAGTGGAAGTTGCTCCACGATCTCAGAGATAAACAAAATTGTGGAGGACATGGGACCTCTCCAGCCGGGGATGCCTAGTCCAGCTATGCTTCCCCAAGACTGGAAATTAGTTGTATTGGATATAAAGGACTGTTTCTTCCAAATTCCATTGCACGCTGAAGATGCCCCGAGGTTTGCATTCTCAGTTCCTACCATCAATCGGGAAGCCCCAATGAAATATTACCACTGGAAAGTTTTGCCCCAAGGTTCAAAATCCAGTCCTTTCATATGGCGAATTAGCAGGGTGTGACTTTGCATAGATCCACCTTCCAGTCAGGCTTTCTGAGGAGGGAAGGAACTCTCCTGAGAGACTGACCAAAAGGATGTTTGAGCATTTGCTCCAGAGCAGTGCCAGTCTCCAGCTATCTCTGGACCGCTACAGGTGACAAATATCAGTCCATGCCCCGTCTCACAAGTTGTTCAATGAGGAATTCCACCTTATTCCTCAAGAGAAAAGGAGCCGGAGGGCACTCAAGGCACTCACAGTGTTCACTGATGCCTCTGGGGCTTCCCACAAGTCGGTGATGACTTGGAGAAATCCACAGACTCAGCATTGGGAAGCTGATGTTGAGCTTGTGGAGGGATCCCCCCAGGTGGCTGAACTGGCTGCAGTGGTGAGAGCTTTTGAGAAGTTTTCTGAGCCATTCAACTTGTTGACAGACTCTGCCTACGTGGCAGGAGTAGTGTCCAGGGCGGAGCAGGCTGTGCTCAAAGAAATAGAAAATGAACATCTTGCTCTCAAGGCTAATTTATTTAATCTCTCACCAGGAGCATCCATTCTTTGTGAAGCATGTGAAGTCACACACTGATTTACCAGGTGAGATTGCAGAGGGGAATCACAAAGCAGACTCCCTTGCTGCACCAGTCGAAAAAGCACATCTCCCTGATGTTTTCCAACAGGCAAAACTGAGTCACCAGCATTACCATCAGAATGTGTCAGGTTTGATTCGACAGTTCCAGCTAACACGGAGTCAGGCCCGAGCCACTGTGACCAACTGTCCTAATTGCCAGCTCCAGGCCGTGCCATCGTTGGGCATGGGGGTAAACCCCAGAGGCTTTAGCAGCTGTGAGGTATGGCAGACAGACATCACACACATTCAGAGTTTTGGTCGCCTTGAATGCGTTCATGTAAGCGTGGACACGTTCTCAGGGGCAGTATATGCCTCTGCTCATATAGGACAAAAGGCTGCACATGTCAAACAACATCTAGTGAAAGCATTTTCAGTATTGGGGGTGCCAAAAACGATCAAAACAGATAATGGCCCAGCGTATATATGCAAAGAGTTTCTGGAATTTCTCCAACAGTGGGGAGTGGAATATAAGACTGGCATTGCCCACTCCCCCACAGGTCAAGCTGTAGTCGAGCGTGCACACCAGACGCTCAAGCAGGTATTGAAAAAACAAAACAGCTCAGCTCCGTGGATGTCTCCACGAGAGAGGCTCTGTAAAGCTATGTTTACCATCAATTTTCTGAACTGTTCATTTGAAAATATGAGTCCACCGGTTGTGCGTCACTTTACCAGTGGCAACCAGTTCAAATTGCCTCAGCATCCCCCAGTCTTGATTAGGGATCCAGAAACTTGGGAAACCAAGGGTCCCTATGAACCTATCACCTGGGGTCGTGGCTATGCGTGTGTAGCTACTCCCTCAGGCCCTCGGTGGATTCCCCAGAAGTGGGTGATACCTTTTGTCCCCAAGGATCCAGGTCAGACAAAAGGGGACAGGAAGCAAGTAGCTGATGCTTCGAAGAGAAGACGCCACCGGATAGAAGAAGACGAATGTTCCTAAGCATGAATTCCTTCCGGCAGAAACTGAAACTTTAACATGTTCTTAAAATGTTTGCTTTTCCCTTTCAGAGAAAACCTACCTCCCACTCAACCCTGTGATGAACCCCATCCAAGTTGTCATCCTGCTAATGCTGAACAATCAGGCAGCTGCATGGATCATCCCTCAGCCACATCAAAATGTCTGGGTGACCCTGGCACAGACACTACAGCAGGAAAACATTTGCTTGTCCACTGCAGCAGCAAAAGACCCTATGTCCACCTGTCTGGTAGGAATTCCATGGCAGGCTGGAGAATTTCCAGCAGGCCTGAACAAATATAGTTCCAACGAAATCCCAGTCAGACACCCCTCGACCACACAAGGATCAGAAGCAAATTGGGGTGATCCTGAAATCCTTAAAAGAGTGGTTGCGGGGTTTGCCCAGGATAGCTCAGGAACCCCAAGAGTTAGAGCTATTGGGTTCCTCTCCTGCAGCTTACTGTGTACACTTTGCCGTGCTCCCAAAACCTTCTAACACTGATGAATACCACGTTATAAAACAGCACCGTGGGGAGTTCACTGCAAGGAGGTGGTGTCAGAACACGACCCATATCGGAGCAGACAACCCATCTCACTCCAGCCCCAAAGGTCTCTATAAGGGATTGTTTTTAATTTGTGGGGATAGGGCATGGGCAGGAATTCCGTCTCGGCTTTTAGGAGGGCCATGTACGATCGGGAGGCTGTCCATATTGACACCCAACCAAACTCTAATTGGTGAATGGACTCACAAAAACAAATCGGCAAACAAAATTCAAAAGAGGAGTGCAGAGACTTTGGACCCAAATTGTAACTCAGAAGTTTTTCATTGGGCCAAGTCAAAAAGAGTTGCTGTGTCCCTGTTTCTTCCATTGGTTG